AGATCGGGAAGGGGAATGAGATCGGGGAAGGGGCGGGGGTAGGAACGGGATCGGAGTAAAGTGGGATCGGGGTCGACGTGGGGGAAATGAGGTCGAAGTGGGGGGGATCAGGGTCAAAGTGGAGGGGAAATGAGGTCAAAGTGAGGTCGACGTGGGGGAAATGAGGTCGAATTGAGGTCGACGTTGGGGAATTGAGGACGAAATTGAGGGGGTTGTAGGAATCGAGGTGGAGGGGAGGGATCGCATTCAGAGTGGGATTAAGGTCGAGATCGGGATGGGGGATGAGCTCGGGGAAGGGGCGGGGATGGGAAAGGGATCGGGGTAGAAGTGGGATCGGGATCGACGTGGAAAAAATGTGGTCGAAGTGGGGGGAATCGGGGTCGAGGTGGAGGGGAAATGAGGGATGAGATCGGGGAAGGGACGGGGGTAGGAACGGGATCGGAGTAAAGTGGGATCGGGGTCGACTTGGGGGAAATGAGGTCGAAGTGGGGGGGATCAGGGTCGAAGTGGAGGGGAAATGAGGTCGAAGTGAGGTCGACGTGGGGGGAAATGAGGTCGAATTGAGGGCGAAGTCGAGGGGGTTGTAGGAATCGAGGTGGAGGGGAGGGATCGCAGTCAGCGTGGGATTAAGGTCGAGATCTGGATGGGGGATGAGATCGGGGAAGGGGCGGGGATGGGAACGGAATCGGGGTAGAAGTGGGATCGGGATCGACGTGGGAGAGATGCGGTCGAAGTGGGGGGGGATCGGGGTCGAAGAGGAGGGCAGATTATTGTCGTGTTGGGATCGGGGTGGTGACGGGGATGAAGTGAGGTTAGGAGGGGTTGGGGCTAGATCGGTTCGGGCTCGATGACGGGGTCGGAATCGTGGAGGGGACGAAGTGTGATCGGGTTGGAGTCGGGATCCCAATCGGGGCTGAGGGTGGAGTGAGATGGGACTGGGATGATGAGGTTAGGAGGAGAATGATGTGGGAAGGTGTCGGGAGGGGACGGATAGTAGACTATTGGAAGGGGAGAGAATCTTGTTCTCCTTAATCTGGCCCGCAATGAGAGTATGAGGGGGGGCCGATGGGGAGAAATAGACGTGATGCTAAACGAGGGAGAGGCGAAGTTTTAGGATATGGCGAAGGGGTCAGTGGGCAAACGAATATGAGAAAAGGGGAGGGCCGGATGAGGAGAGAGACAGTGTCGTAGGAGTGTTTTGACAGGGCGAGTCCGATCTCACAGATGACTTCAGGTGTTGGTGTAGTTGTCTCGGTAGATTGAGGCTCCTTCGCTGCGATATACTATCCCTCACGCCTTGTCGACGGGGCTTGTTCGATGGCACAATAGACGAACTTGGTTTTATCGCTCCGACGCACAGCTTCTCGAATAACTTCACCGGCTTACTCGGCTTCGTCGAGGGACATTCCGAGTAATCTTCCTTGGTGCGCGCCCAGGGGGCGCGCAGAGAGTCGTGCGTGGCAAACCAGGGGAGTTATGGCGTTGTAACCGGTGTTTCCGTGATGGCAGTCCACGCTGCGACAAAAGTTGTGCTCGTACGGGCAGTCCACGCTGCGACAAAAGTTGTGCTCGTACGGGCACAAGGATGCGATGCAAAGCGCTTAACGAATTTGGGTTTTTCACACAGCTTCGCGAGTAACTTCATCGCTTACTTGTCTCGGTGCGCGCCCAGAGGGCGCGTAGGTTATCGCGCGTGGCGAACCAGGGGAGCTATGGCGTTGTAGCCGGTGGTTCCGCGATGGCAGCCCACACTGCCTGCTGCGACGACGGGTGTGCTCGTACAGGCGCAAACGATGCGACGCGTAGCTCTTACCGATGGCGCGAGCGCAAAAATTTTCACAGCAGCCTAATGGATCTGGTGACAAAAAGATTCTTCTTTTTGATTCTATCCATCTCTTGTTTCGAGTTTCAACCAGGGCTGGTCCCCGGATGGACCGGGGACCCCTACCCCATCCGCGGTCCTCCCGGTTTGACCGGCCGGTGGCCCGGGCTGGTTCCCTCCTGGTCGCCCCCAGCGCATTTTTGCTGGGGCCTGAATTTTTTTTTTGGGCGGCGCACATGTATTATGAAGGCCTCGTGGGGGCGGGCCCTGCCACGCAATTTCGTTACCGGGTCCTGTAGGCCCGGATTTTTTAAGTCCAAAAAGTGTCCAATCTTGGCCGCCGATCGTCGCAGATCAGCGGCGAAGATCGGCCCCTGTTTTGAATCAGTTCGGGGGGGGAAACGGAATCGCGCAGCGGGTTGCATCGCGCATTCAACCCCGCTCACCTCCACTCTGTGCAGCCACTCCGTCGTTGCCTCCGACAGCCAGCCGTGCCATTGTCGCCACCGCCAGCCAGCCGCGCCATCACTCGGTGCAGCCGCGCCATGGTCGGTAGGTCTCCGCGGGGTGCAGCAGCGCCATCGTCGCCTCCACCAGCCAGCCGTGCCATCACACCCCCCTACCGACGAGCCACTCCATCACGCCCCCAGGTTTGTTTCTTCTTCTTCTTCTTCTTCTTCTTCTTCTTCTTCTTCTTCTTCTTCTTCTTCCACCTCCTCCTCCTCCTCTTCTAGTCCTCCTCTCTTAGCCATCAGCTTGCGTTCTTCTTCTTCCTCCTCCTCCTCCTCGTCCTCCTCCTCCTCCTCCTCCTCTCCTCCCTCTTCTTCGGCATCTTCTTCTTCTTCTTCCTCCTCCTCCTCCTTTTCTTCTTCTCCTCCTCCTCCATTAGCGATAGCCGTTTAATTTTTATAATTTTTTTTCGTTGCTGCTTCAACTCTTTTCTTCTTCTTCTTCTTCTTCTTCTTCTTCTTCTTCTTCTTCTTCTTCTTCTTCTTCTTCCTCCTCTTCTTCTCTCCCCTCTTCTTCGTCATTTTCTTCTTCYTCYTCCTCCTCTTCTTCTCCTCCTCCTCCGTTAGCCATAGCCGTCAATTTTTTTTTTCTTTTTTTGAAGCTGCTTCATCTTCCTTGCGTCCTTCTTCTTCTTCTTCTTCTTCTTCTTCTTCTTCTTCTTCTTCTTCTTCTTCGTCTTCTTCTTCTTCTTCTTCTTCTTCTTCTCCTCTCCCCTCTTCTTTGTCATTTTCTTCTTCCTCCTCCTCCTCCTCCGTTAGCCATAGCCGTCAATTTTTTATTTTTTTTTCGAAGCTGCTTCATATTCCTTGCGTTCTTCTTCTTCTTCTTCTTCTTCTTCTTCTTCTTCTTCTTCTTCTTCTTCTTCTTCTTCTTCTTCTTCCTCCTCGTCCTCCTCCTCGTCCTTCTCTTCTTCGTCATTTTCTTCTTCCACCTCCTCCTCCTCCTCCTCTTCTTCTTCTTCCTCCTCCTCCTCCTCCTCCTCCTCTTCTCCTCCTCCTCCTCCGTTAGCCATAGCTGTTTAATATATATCTTTGTTTTTCATTGCTGCTTCAACTCCCTTTGACCCCCCCCTTCCTCCCCCCCCCCCCCCCCGGCACACCCCAAAAAAAAGAATCCAACCTTCAAAGTTTTATTGCGGAATCCGACAGATCTCGTCAAGCGCAGTCGGATCCCGCGAAGAAAAAATAAAAATAAAAAAATTTTGGCCATTTTCTTGGGCCATCTGGTTTGCCGGTTGACCCCCTCTGGCCCGGTACACCCCAAAAAAAAGAATCCAACCTTCAAAGTTTTATTGCGGAATCCGAGAGATCTCGTCAAGCGCAGTCGGATCCCGCGAAGAAAAAATAAAAATAAAAAAATTTTGGCCATTTTCTTGGGCCATCTGGTTTGCCGGTTGACCCCCTCTGGCCCGGTCCGGCCCCGGTTGAACCAGGTCAGCTCGACCGGCCGGTTGCCGGCCCAGCCCTGGTTTCAACAAGCCTTGCATTTCTCGCAATTTGACTTTTGCACTATGGATGAAGGAGCATAACATTTGTTTTGTTTTTTTTGTGTTTGTCACAATTACCCTGGGACTTCAAGACCAAATTGATCTTTTTGTGTAGTTCTTGAATCATGGGAGACTTACAATGCAAAGAAACCATTTTGGCATAACTCAATTTGCAAGCACGACGAACTCTCGTAATTAGCATTTACATGCTGACAACTTGTGGCAAGGCAAATAGCAGAAAGGCTTAAGCAACGATCCCGCCTATGGTCTTCACCCGAATAGAATACCCGATCATGATTGCTATATCTAGTCTCTAAGTTGCACCAAATACAGCTTTGATAACCAGGCGTTCTGTTCTGGTGAAGATGGTAGCACAAGAACGAACAATGCTGCAGTCTTGTGATGAAGAACAAGTCGTCCGCCTTCTTTTCCCCTCCCAACAACCAATCCAACAACAATGATAGCTCTCTCTCTCTCTCAGTGGTTTCGCTACCGGCCTTTGTAATCACTGCTCTACTGTCCATCCTAGCCTACACCACACCGATATAAAATGCTGCAGAGGGCATGGCTAATCCCACCGATGCCTGAGTGTAGAATGTACCATGGCCAAGCTCTTCATGGTGACCAGCAGGTACAGTCCTCGCCATATCTTCTCTGTATGGAGGACGGTGCCCGCCTCCACTCCCCTCCACGGTCAGGACAAGTGCTGCTTAGAGGCACGCATGCTTCAGAGAGCACTAGCTTCAGCAGCCAAGCGCTGTCTGCCAGCTCGCAAAGATGCCCGGACTGTCCCGACTTCTTCCTCTATGCCAGCCTAGGATCTGGAAAGACGGTTAGGCACTGCCTTCAAGAACCTTCGGGCAGCTGCTGCCTCCTGCTGGGATCCCAGTTACCTGGGCCAGTACCCTGACCGGCCTGACCCTGCCGTTTTTCCAAAAATAGATCAGGTCATATCACTTAGGGCCTTGCCACACTTTACTAGCCCGGGCCTTCTCCTATGGCCCTGCTGAAATGTGCCTGGGAGGCCACCGAGACCTCACAAAAGTCCTTATCTTCCCTTGTGAATGATGCTAATGCTGGCATTTGTTTTTTAGTTGCGTGCGCAACTATCTGTATGCTGAACGTCTGCTACTTGGTGGCATTTGATGATGTTTTGTGTTGAAAAACCTCTTCATTTTGTAGGTTTCGATCGATTCAAGAGCAGGAGGAGCTTTTCTTCGGGACTATGTCATCGAGAAATCAGGGCCCAATTGAACGAGCGAAGGTTGTTCCCCACACCCACTTGACTTATTCTAGTAGCTACTCGCAACAACCAATCTTCTCTAAGACCCTCTTCTCGAACTTGCACATACACACATGTCAACCTCCTGATGAGTCGGTGAAAGTCGCTCGAAACAGGCTGGCATAGTCATGCTTCTTTTGTGGATTTGTGTAAAGCGAAGATGATAACGCACATACGGATGCACATGTATGTTAGAGGCGCTGTAAAAAGGGAGCTGCAAGATGAAATAAAAGGGGTACTCCAAAGAAAGCCAAAGTTGAGGAAGATTGGTCTCTCATTCTCTCTCTCTCTCTCTCTCTCTCTCTCTCTCTCTCTCTCTCTCTCTCTCTCTCTCTCTCTCTCTCTCTCTC